CAAGGAGAAGTAATACATACATATTTTTTTCCAAGGCCAGCTGATACAGCCAGTTAAAAATGGGTTACATTTAGGCACCACGCCTTCCCAGGAACATTGATTTGATATTGTACTTGGCTGCAGTTGAAATTCTGTCCCTGCAATAGGATTATATAAAACTGTCTGTTAAGTTAGGGGCTTAAAATGTCTTGTCACTGAGAATACATGTTTGTTAGTGGTTTTAACAGTGCTGCAAAGTAAATCGTGATAGATAGAAGCAGCATGAGGATTTACCAACAAGTCTTTGCAGTGGCAACTCTGAGTGCTCACAAATGCATTCACAATGTTTGTGTTATTCTTATAAAAGATGCGTATGTTAGTTTTTTTTTTTCCAAAATATATCATATGAATGAATACAGTGAAATCAGAATGTTCCAAGGTGACACCATACAGCAGCTGAACATTTTTCTGTTGAACATCTGTCCAAAACACATACAGAATGAGCACAGAGTATTTATAGCAGTAGGGAATAAGGGCTGCCATTATACACTAAATATCAAAATATCAACTCTTTTTTTTTTTTTTTTTAATCTCCCTTCTCCCTTAGAAAATAAATCCAGCCTTTGCATAGACTCTGCTAACGTAGCATGAAATTCCACAGAACTGAGGGCATAGCATAAAGCAAGGTATTTTAGTCAGATGGTAATGAAGTGCATTTGAAAGATAAGAGATTTATCTTGTATTGCCCAATAGCATTCTCATAAACTGAAAGCCCGGTATAGCCTAAAAGCTGATCCCAAAGCAGCTGCTGAAATCTGCAGAACAGAAGATGAGTGGGATGTTGAAACAGGAAAAAAAACACCATCATTTTGGAAGAAAGAGGGCTTAAAAGGGGACAAAGACAAGGCACTTTAGGGTTTATGCGGAAACAGAAGATTCCCCAACAGAAAGTATGCAAAAACTGGAATTTTGAAGGGAGACAGCTATGTTCTCTGTGTGTGTTTGTGTTGGGGATAACGGAAGGAGGAGGTGCTGTCTTGTAACTCTCAGAAAAGGTCTTTGCCCTTCCCTGTGCACAGCGTTCTCAGGTAGAGCTGCAGTGTAAAGCAGAGTGTCAGCTCCACCCTCGGGCAGAAAGGGAAATGCAAAGCCAGCTGATGAGTACAGCCAGTGCAGGGATGCTCATACACGACGTGAATGAATGCCTGCGTGGTTGTGCAGTTGATATAGTTGTGATAAGTAAACGGGAAAAACAAAACTGAAGAGATGTGCTGATGGATTTTGCAGTGAACCCGGAAAAACGATAACAGTTTTCTTCCTATTAGTAGATATAACAGTATTTCTACTTAATGTTTAAAATGCTCGTTATTCACAGTTCTCACCCAGTGCTTTTTCTTTCTGCTTTTTAGCCGTACCTGACCTGCTTATGAACCATGTCCAGAATAGTTGGCCTTTCTGGTTGTGGATCTTACCTTGGACCAAAGTTATGGAGATGAGATTAAACCTTACTACCCAACTACCATAACAGAGTGCAGCAGTGAAGAATTATAGATGAATTTCTCTCTTTCTACTGTGATTTATAGTCATGGATTGCCGATCACTACATCTTCACAATGGCTGCAACCTCTCATTGAAGTACTTAGGAGCGTTTCTTTGAAAGCAAGATTCATGTTCAGCAGTTTATCTTACCTTCGGTTTGTTCTCCACCTGAAATCACTCTCCATAACATAAAATATCAGTACGCTTCTTTTCAGGCTCACAGACAGAGGGAAGGGAAAGAGGAAAATTCTACCTGTGTAATAATGAAGGCAGGCATTTTTCAGTCCTCCATGACGTGCCAGTTACAGTAACAGCCTAACAGGCTCTGCTTCATCTCTGTCTTCATACATCTGGCTCCTCGTGGGCTGCAGGCAGGAAATGGTGATGGAGGTACAGCCAATGCTCTAGACAGACTATGGATTGTCATAAATTCAGTGAATTGCCTGGGGGCTTGAGGTTGGCATATATTCAGGGGGAAAAAAAAAAAAAAAAAAAGGAAAGGAAAGGCAGCTTTTTTTTTATCTTATAGGCTCACAGATTAAAAATGCTCCCAAATCTTACGTCTATGCAGGAGCAAGTTTCCTTTATTAAAGAAGCAACCTCGTCCTATATTAGTTAGGCAGGGGTTATATCACTGATGAAATTAACAAATAACTGTATAGATTTCATTTCCATTTATTTCTCTGTATTTAGGTTGGACAGTTAAGGAACAGCAGTCCTTTCTATTTTCTCTTTGTTCTTTTTCCACTTTCTGGTTTCCCAAGTCACACCAAGACTCTGGTTTGTCTCTCTTCTCAGCTGAAGGTGAGCAAAGAGGCAGAATTTAATTTGGAGTACTGTTTTCTGCTTTTTAATCATTCATAATTATGATAAGTCTAGCTAACTATATTTTGAATTAGTCTCACTAGAGATTGAATAGTTCTGTTTGGTTTTAGAAGAGTTGATGGAAGTACTTTATTTACGTTACTGTTGGTAAATGACTTCCTCACCAAAAATACAAGTTTATTTAGGGAAAGTGAAAATATTTATCCTGCTCAAAATATTTCTGTCAGATGTTGGCCAATAATACACTTCTCAATTTCTTTTCCTTCCCATTTTGTCTTGAGAAAACAGTTCTACTGCTCTAGACAAATTTAGAATTTAAAGTGTGAACGAAAGCAACTTCTTCATTCATTAGACACCACCTTGTTAACATCTTTTTGGTGGCATGTATTTCTACACAGCAACACACCATGGAAGACAGTATTTTTCCTCCTCTCAAGTGCCAAAAGCATGTTGAGATTCCCAAGCTTGCATTTTACTGAGAACTGAGCAGTGTCTGCTGGTATGCAGCTGAAAATTCTGTCTAAACAGCAAGTTCTTGTTTATGACTATTTAACTGCTACTTTATGGTTAGATATCCTACATTAACTGTTATCAAGCTTCCTCTTTGCTTTCTTTCCTTCATCTAAAGCTTCACTCATTATTAGTTCAGGGGGAAGTTTTGGACAGGCAAAAAAGGAACCGTGGAATGTGGGTCTGTCTATTTGCAAATGCAGAAGCTGGTTGACCAGACCTCTAGTTCTGAAGGGAACCACAGATTTTTCTGATTGCCCTTTGCGGTATGACTTACTTTCCTTCCAGCTCTTGAACAATGCCAGCAGGTTGGCTGGCACAGACAGCACTTCTCTGCACCATGTATTGTGCTGACATGCCCTCATTTAGGCAGAGGCTACTCTTCTTTTCTTGAAAGATTGTAAATGTCTTCTTGCTTCCATGGATGTCCCAAATTTGAAGCATTCAAGACTGTCCCTTATCTGCCACCAAGCCTCAGAGTGACCCAGGTAGCACCAGAAAGCCCCGAGCGCCTTGTCAGTCGCCTGGACCAGGAATGTGGCCGTGCCTGCACCCCTGAGAATGCAGTCCATGCATCCTTTCTCCAGAGACACAACCCATGGTGCTGCTTTTTTAATGTTGTTTGTGTCTGATAGTTTGCTGTGTTATCCACAAAGCCACCCCTTGATGCTCCGCATTGAGGCCACTCAAATGCATACATCCATACGTGTTAGGGGCTGCTGGATCTGCTGGAGATGAGCTCCACAGAGAAGGACCTGGGTGTCCTAGTGGGCAACAGGTTGACTGTGAGCTATCCTGAGCTATGAGCTATCCAAGCTATGTGAGCTTGCCTTTGCAGTCAAGAAGACCCCAATCCTGGGGTGCACTAAAATGAGTGTGGCCAGCAGGCTGAGGGAAGTGGTCCTCCCCCTCTGCATATCTGGAATACTGTGTCCAGATTTGGGCTTCTCAGTTCGGAAAAGACAAGGATCTCTAGAAAGAGTCCAGCAGAGGGACACAAGGGTGATGTGGGGCCTGGAGACACTTTTGTATGAGGAAAGGCTGAGAGTCCTGAAGCTGTTACTGTTTATTCATCTCTGAGTTGTGGCAGTCAAGTCTGTGGAGGTGAAATCTTTTTGGTGGCAAGCAGCAATAGAGCAAAGGGCAAAGGGCAGAAACCAGAGCACAAAGGAAGTTCTATATGAAGGAAGAACTGACAGAGTGACAGAGTACTGTCTGTAGAGGCTGTGAAGTCTCCTCTGGAGGTGTTCTGAACCTGTGCTGAGACACTTTCCTGTGTGACCTGCTTCAGGGAACCTGCTTTAGGAGGGAGCTGGATGATCACTCCTTACGACCTCTCCAATTCTGTGGTTCTGTGGTAACCCGCAGCCTCCTGACCCGAACCCAGGGCTGACCCAAGACAGCGAGACTTAGGCTCTGCCCTGCTGCAGACGGGCCGCTCGGCAGCCGCCTCACGGCGCCGGGCCTGAGACGAAGACGCGGGCAGTCTCCTGCAGGTGACAAGACGGCCACCAGGGTGCGCTGCGGAGAGGCGCGGCAGCCCCGGGCCAGAGGCGGGAGCGCCCCCGCCGGGGGGGGGCCGAAGCTGCGGCTGCGGGCCGGGGCTGCGCTGTGGCTGGGGGCCGCGGCGCTTCCTCAGCCCCGCACTCAGCCGCAGGAGGGGCGAGGCGAGGCGGGGAAGCGGCCGCGCTCCCCTCACGGCGCTGCCCGAGGGGGGACAGCCCGAGGCGGGACCTCCCGCTTGGACCCGCTGCAGCCCGGTTCCTGGCCGAGCAGGGAAGGGGCCGGAGCCGAGCTGCGCACACCTACGGGGCGGGATGGAAATGTACCGGTGCCGCCCGCAGTGAAAGGAGAGCGGTTCGGCGGGAAGCGGAGGGCGGGGAGCGGAGCGGCGCAGAGCATCGCATCGCATCGCACCGCACCGCATCGCATCGCCTGGCGGGGAAAGCGAGGGACCAAATGCCTATGAAGAAGGGCGGCAGCAGCCACCACCGAGAGAGCTGCCAGCCGCGGCGCAGCCCCGGGAGGAGCCCTGCCGCCCGCGGGGTCGAGCCGCCCAGCGGCGTCCCGCTCCACCCCGTCCGCCGGGGCTGCGATGGGCGCGGGCGGCGGGCGCGGGCCGGGCAGCCGGGCGTAGGGCGCGGGCGGCGGCGGGGCTGAGCGGCCCCGCGCGGTGCGGGCCTTATGCGGGAGCGCAGCCCGGCGCCGCGGCAGCGCTGCGGGAGGAGGATGGCGGGGCTGGCTTGGAAGTGGCCGCGCACCCGGCTGCCCGTGGGGGCCAGCGCCCTCGGCGTCTTCGTCCTTTGCTGGCTCTACATCTTCCCCGTGTACCGGCTGCCCGACGAGAAGGAGATCGTTCAGGGGGTGCTGCTGCAGCAGGGCAAGGCGTGGAGGAGGAACCACACTGCGGTCGCCGTCTTCAGGTAGCGGCCCAAGGGCACGCGGGGACGGGGACGGGGGGCCGGCGGTGCGCGCAGCCCCGCGCTCGCGTCTCCATCCCCGTCCCTTTGTTGTCGGAGCCCGCGGGGCGAGGGCCGGGCCGGGACCCGCCGACGGCAAAACTTTTCGGGGTGGCTCGTCCTTGCCGTGCCGGTTGCGCGGATGGGGGCTGCGGGAGGCGGGCTCCGGCTCTGGTGTGAGCCCGACTTGAAGGGTGTGCTGTGGCGGGGTGCGTGTGTGCTCTCCGATAGGTGTGTGTATGAGAGAGAGTGCGGACAGATCACAGATCTCCTTTTCCAGGGGGAAGCTGGATTTTCTCTCTGTCCTCTAAGGAGCGCATATGAGCGGTGATCAGGCTGCCCTCAGGAAGGCTCCCTTTCTTCAGCAGCAGCCGGAATGACTTTTTTTTTTCTTCTTCTTTTTTTTTGTTTTTTTTTTTTTGTCCTGCTGTTGGTTGTGAATGCGACTCAGCTTTTGTTTGTTAATTGTGAACTGGGGCCGGTGTGTGATCACTTAGCATCTCGTCCGCTCGTACAGCCAACTTAGCGGGTTTCCAGAAGCACACCCTTGAGTCTAGGAGCAGGAAAGAAAAGCAGTGAGAGGTGACAGTGGGTTTGTGGTAATGCCGTCTCGTTGGGTAGGCCTGAGAGAAGCCCTCCCTCTAATACAGAGCTATCAGCTCCTCGTCCTAAAGCATTGGATACAAACTGGGAGGGCAACTGCATTAGTTTTCTCAGGCTTTAATTCAATTAAATCTCATTATGCCACAGATACACATTTTTGGGACAGATGATTATTTTTTTTAATATCCCTGTTAGGTGATGTAGGAAAGAGCCGGATGTATTATTTTTCTTGTTTATAAACCAAGTGTTGCTTTGAAGTCTGAAACTACTGCTGCAACTTCAGTTAAAAAAAAACAATTTTAAGACTGTTTCAGCCACATAGTTTAGAAGCAAACTCAGTGTGGATCCTCAACCATTCCACTTCCCTGTATGTTTTTCCAGTGCTTACGCTTTTAAGTGGCTTTCTCAAACATGCTTATGGAAGATTGTATCTTGCGGTAAAATGATCTGCTATTTCTTGTCTCTGCCCCTTGATCAGTTACTGCACTGCTAAACAAAAGGAACCCTAAATCATTTTGATTTAAGAAACACATTTTATTTTTAAAGGAAATTTTCCCTGGAGATACATATACTGAATAAACAAAAGTCGTCAAATAATGGTGACATAGAACTCTGTATTTTTACTGACATAGATCTGCTTCTCTGCGAATTGGTAGAAAGTTATGAAATCAAAGTCCATACGAGGTAAACTGGTCTATATTGTGAAGCAACTAAAGGAAGAAATGTCAATCTCTGTGCTACCATTCCTTTTTTTTAAGAGGTTCACATTTCAGTTTCTGCTGGAAACTGTCTATGAATATGAGCTTTTGTTTTAACTGCTCCATATAGCCTGTGTGTGGACCTCGAATCAGTACTGCCTGCTATAATAGCCTAATACTGGGTCGATTGCTCTTCTCTCCAGTCTTCCTGCGCATGTTCTGGTTCTGAAACAATTGTGAAGAACAAATCTGCTAAAAATCTTTGAGGAATTGCAAATTCTCACATTAATGTTTTGTAGAATACAGTGTTTGCATGTATTTCTTTGTATGTTATGATATTGTATAATAATACAATACAGGTGTTCAAATATCCAGGTTATTGCTGCCAAGAAAAGAGCTGACTGTTCTGTATTTCTCTTACTTGGCTTGTATTGAAGTAGTTTGTGGTCCCCAAGCAGCTAACTTTATATTAACATGTTTTTCAAAACCGGGCAGTGCTGCTCTGTTACTGTAAAGCAGCTGATACTCTCTAAGACCTGGGTTGGAGTGTTAGAGAGCAGGCATTCTTCATTATCAGTGCTGGATGCATGGGGGGAATGCTCCTCCAATTGTGTATGTCTTGCACAGAGAAGGTCTTCAGCATTCAGAGGTCTTCTGAGAGGTACATACATATTCAGTACAAAGTCTCATGGAACCTCGCTTATCTATGCAATACAAAGACACAGACCCTTCCCATTATCTAAGCAAACTACAAGGTTATCCGTTAAGGGACTTATCAAGCTGCAACTTGTATTAGTTCCCTTTGTATTCTGTATCTGGAGAAAAAGAGCTTCGGTAGCAGCTCAGCAAGGTCAGAGAAAGCTCCTGTGGTAACCTAGGTTGAAGCCTGGCAGCTGAGTAGCAGCAGCTTCTTAATTTGCACAGTGGCTCCTTCCTCCTCCTGCCTGTTAAAAGCAGAAGCCTTATGTGAAGGTCTGACCGATGTACATTCTCATGCAGGTATCCATGCTGTCCTGGTGCTTGCATAATAATTTAAACCAGGTTTTGCAGGTTTTGTGTTTGAATATAGGCTAGCAGAATTGTTTTCCAAATATAAGCACCTGTGTAAACAGCCATGGATTTCTCAGTCGCAATCCTTCACTTGCAGTATGTGGGTTGTGAATAAGGACAGGCTGTGAGAGTAACAAAATGAGCAGGATTCAGCCTTTGGCTTAGGCATGAATCTGTTTCAAGCATGCTCTCAGCCCTGAATTTGTGTGCATGATTTTGTGAGTAATCTTCGTGTGACGTTTGCGTGTCGGGTCCTGCTGCCATCAGTTCTGTGGGTGTCTGTGTAGCAGTGTCTGGGATCTCAGATGGAGGGACAGGTCCTGAAAAGCCTGAAGATACAGATGAGGTTATTTATTAAGAGCCCTTGGTCCAAATCATTTCCTCTGCTGAATATAGCTTTCTGTGGAGCCTTCAAAGGGCAGCCTTTTGCCCGTTCTGGGCATGCGAAACGCAGCCTCATAACAAAATACTGCTATTAACATCCTTTAAGTTTCAAGATGCTACTGGCTGAAGACCATCTAACTCTGCTGTGGAAACATCTCATCTCTGACCATTGCTGAATAGCAGTCTGTCAATAAGATGGTAAACTGCTTGATCCCCAGTTGCCCACTACACAATCATCAGAATAGGAGTGAGACTGCCATTAGAATCACAAATGTTTAAGGCCTGTAATTTACTAAGGGATAATGACTGGTCATCCTCTGAGGTGCTTAACATTATTGCTCCCTAATTGTTTTACAAATCAATTTTTTTAAGGGCTTAGTGCTGTTTAAATTATTTAGGCAAGAATTTTGTTAATTGAGGTTTGTTATTAATGAAGTAAGTGAGGTGTAAGAATACCTTTAGGATTATTTTATCTAAAATTATTGCAGTTGATTAAAGTCAGAGCAGAATCTTTCCATCTGCCTTATAAGCTCTATGCAACCATACATCTCAAGTGCTCTATTTGTATCTGACATTTCTTAATTTCTTGGCCAGGGAACTCCTCTGGAGACTCAGCAAGACTTTTTGGACAACCCTGTGGTCTCCTATGAAGACAGGTTGAAGGAGCTGGGTTTGTTTTAGCCTGGAGAGTAGAAAGCTCCGGGGAGACCTCTTTGTGACCTTCCAGTACGTAAAAAGGGACCTACAAGAAGGATGGGGAGAGACTTTATCAGGGAGTGTAGTGACAGAACAAGGGGAGCTGACTTCAAACTAAAAGAGTTTTTATATTTATATTTATATATATTTATTTATATATATTTATACATATATATTTATATTAGAAGAAATTCACAGTGAGGATGGTGAAGCGCTGAACAGGCTGCCCAGATAAGCAGTGTATGCCCTATTCCTCAAGGCCTCAAGATGCTCAAGGCCAGGGGTGATGGGGTCCTGGGCAGCCTGATCTGGTGGCTGGTAGTCCTGCCCACAGCAGGGGATTTAGAACTAGGCGGGCTTTAAGATTGCTTCCAACCCATTCTGTGACTCTAAATGGTCTCCCACTGCATTAACCTAAAAGTTTTGGTGGCAGTTAGTGTCTGAGCTAGAGGTTAGAGGCTCCTCAGGAAGAGATGGGACAATCTCATGATGAGGACAGTGGAAAGGCTGCACTTGAGATTCGCTTTGCTTTTGCTGCAGCGGCTTTGTGTGATGCTGGAAGGTTGCCCAAGCTTTATTCTGGGGGGACTTGGCAGAGCTGGTGGCAGACATTTCCTGTGAACTCACTGTGACCTGCTTCCAGTCCAAAGCAACTGCTGCAATTTGGGTCTGCTCCCCAGTGCTGTCACATCCGTCCCCAGATTCACACTGGCCATGCTTATCTTGGCGGATGGTTTCTCTGCTGTTTTTCTTACTTTTAGCCTGTTGTCCATTTTCCAGGAGCAGAGAAGTGAAGCTAATGGCCTGAAATCACAAAGCAGTAGCTGAATGTCCAGATAGAATATCCAGGCTCGATGGACTCCAGTGCTTTCACAGCTTTTAGGCTGTGTAGGTGTGGACAGACTGTGAGGCTTTTCTATGATTAGCTTTCAGCTGCCAAGCAAAAATAATGTGCGGTGCCAGGTGGGTCTTCCTACTGTGGTCTCTGTCAGCTGTTAATACCTGTACCTTGGATATAAGCACAACAAACACTGAAGAGCATCCTCTTGTACAAATAATTTTCATTTGAGATCACATTAATGCAGAGCTGGAATTCCAGGTCACCTCCCAGTCTGAGTGAGATGAATGCTGTTGCCAAGTCAGCAGGAGTTTCCTTAGTTTGGCTGGCTTCTCTTCTGTTTCTTTTGATGGAGGCTCTGCACATTACATAAGAGGTGTGATTCTTGCCAGGATAATTCAAGGCAAATCTGAGATGAAACTTCACCTTGCTCAAGTTGACTAGATAAGAGTTTTGCCCTGCTTAACCAGCTTTATAGGATACTGAATTATCCCCTCCTATTTCACTGAGACATGGGCAGAATGGCTTTAAGGTCAGAGCTGGGAACTGCTGGATTGAGGTTACTTTTGCCTCCATGTCTCACGAAGCCCAGTCCTACAACTATCAGACGCATTCAAATTTTGTACTTTGTAGTTGCCAATTCCAGCTCATTTTGCTTTCTGGAGTAGGTGTCACTACTGCATGTCTGTATTTTT